TTAATTTTTCCATGTAATTGCCTGAAACCTTTTTTCCACAAGTTTTACAATTAACAAATTTAAATTAGTGCCTTCAGTTGACTCTTCTCTTGAACCATAATATATTGAGAAAATGTTCCCTCTGCAGGTGCTGAGTGTTAAGCTCTCAGCAAATTCTGCCAAGCAGAGGCTGTTCTCCAGTTCAGTTCTTTGCATATGAAACTGCAAAAATATTTTAGCTCAGATATTTTCACAGGTGCTGTCTTTTTGCCTTAGTTCAGGATTCCTTTCTTCCACAAAGTTTTGTTTTGTTTTTGAGATGGAGTCTCACTCAGTCACCCAGGCTGGGGTGCACAGTGGTGTGATCTCCGCCCACCGCAACTGCCGCCTCCCGGGTTCAAGTGATTCTCCTGCCTCAGCGTCCCAAGTAGCTGGGATTACAGGTGCCTGCCACCACACTCAGCTAATTTTTGTATTTGTAGTAAAGATGAGGTTTCACCATGTTGGCCAGGCTGGTCTTGAACTCCTGACCTCAGGTGATCCACGCACCTCGGCCTCCCAAAGTGCTGGGATTACAAGCATGAGCCACTGCACCCAGCCCACAAGTATTTTTTTTTTTTTTTACAGGATTCAAGCTTTTGTACCTATTTATAAGTTTTGAACGTTTGTCAAATTTAGATACTGCAAATCATAGGTTTTCTCAATTTCATCTCATTTCCGTACAGAACATGAATTTATACATTAAAAAGATTCTTCCCACAAATTGAGATATTTATATATTTGAGAGCTTATTATAGGATTTCAGAATTAAGTCTTGTACAGCATTGGATTTTGATAATTTTCTGATACATTTTATAATTTTTCTGCATTCCAGCTTTGTTTTCAATAATTATAGTCCCACTAAAACTTTGAAAGCTGATGTTTTGATGCTCTATCCATTGAATAACTTAAAATTTCCAACTGATTCGGAACAAAATTCAACAAAAATTTAGACATCTGTTTTCACGCACAGTTTAACAGCTGATAATGGGAAAATAATAGAGAAAACATGTGCAAGTTGGTTTTTCGAAAGACTTCATAAACAGCTTTATCACAAGTTTGTGGTCCAGTAAATCTGTGCATGTCTTAACATTTTGTAAATTTTGTCAAGTACATCTATTTCAATTTATAGAATATTGACACTTGTTTATATGCAATAACACATTGTGTGTGCACCACGACCTATTCCAATCACATTTCTGTTTCATTGGTGTCTTAATTTAGTAGGAATATTATTGTTACCACGACACTGGACTCCACCAAAATTTGTGTTTTATCCTCACAGAAATGCAATGACTTTATTCCCAATGTGGAAAATTGAAACAATTTAAAATAGCATTGACAAAAAAAGTCAGTTGTTCCACTTTGCCAGAATGAATGCCCCAAAGCCCAGCTTTGCTTCCATGAGCTGGATGAAAGAGGGAACTGTGATTGGAATTAACAGGTTTTTCTGTCTGAAGAGTCTGAGGATACTGGCGTTGAGCTGGCCCCGTTTTACTTTCAATGATGTTCTTCTTTTGGAACCAGAGCACAGTCAGCACTGTTGCACGTGCACAAGAACAGCTGGAACTAAACGTGAGCTGAGTTAACTTAAAGAACAGTTGTTTGATCTAAGGGAAAAGTCATGCCTCCCAGAATGATTGTATGACAGCATCTTTTGCAGCTACACAGATGAGACCCAGGTCTTAGGGTGCCATGTTCTTAAAATGACTCATTTCTAAAGTAGCAGCTCCGTGTCTTAGGTTTTCTTGCAATCAGTGAAATTGCTGCAGCCCCCGTAGTGATGCAAATGTCAGTAGACATTCTGTGCGATCTACCTGCTCATCAACAACGTCCTTGAGCAACAGAAGTGCAGTCCTTAAATTTCCATTAAACATTTGTTTTTTAGCTCATTACTCCAAAAGGGTTTATTGCAAATTCTTTAAGTATTGCCAAATGATAAAATAAACATAGTTTTGGATTTATGCCCTACAAAAAATGACCAAACTATTTTAACAAGAGCCTCCAGCCTCCTCCATGTGTTCTAGGCAGGAACTGCTCAGCTTCTGTGTGCCACGGACAACCACCAAACCGTGATTTGCCGTGTCTCCTGCTAATCTGTCAGCTGGCAACTCTGCAGCTTCTGCTCTTTTATCTACTCTCTCCCTTGGTGATTTCATCCAGACTTGTGGCTTTAAATGCCATTCCTGTGATTACAACTGCCAGTTATGTCTCATCGTCCCAAATCTTGTCCCTGAATACCAAACTTGTCTATCTCATTGCCTACCGGACGTCTCCACGTGATGTCCACTTTGCATCTCAACCTTAGCAATTCCAAAGTTGAACTCCTGATCTCCCGCCCTACACACAAAAAGCTGCTTCATCTTCATTCTGCCATCTTCCTTATGGCTGATGACGACTTCATACTTCCAGGTGTTCAGTCAAAAAGCTTTGGCATTGTCCGACTCCTCCTTTCTCCCACCTGGATCCAACTGAAAATCATGGTGTTAGCACCTTCAGAACACATCTAGGGTCTGATCACCTCTCACCACCTGCACTGCCACTCTTCCCAGCTGTCACCCGCCAGCATGTTTATTTAGTGTGAGTATTGTTTATCAATTCTTCCTCCCACTAGGCTTATATGCACACTGAGAGCCGGGATTTTTGCCTGCTGTATTCACTGCCATGTCCTAAATACCTAGAACAGTGCCTGACACATATTACGTTCTCCGTAAATACTTGCTCAGCAAATACATGACTGGAGGAACCAGCGAATTATACCCCAGTGTGAATAACTCCATGTGAGTGACATAACAGAATGTCACAGCTAGAAGGGCCTCTCGAGGTCATCTTGTCTCCCTTAAATAAAGAAAGTCAGGCTCAGAGACATAAACTGACTTGCCCGAGGTTACACAGCCAAATGTGCTCTTCCAAGATTAATTCTCTGCTACACAATATCTTTTGTTGGTATCTGTGAGGCTTTGTGCGGTTGAAAGAATCTGTCATCATCCAGTAATAGCGATCATGATGGTGACAGCTAACGTTTGCCGTGTGCTGATGATGAGTCAGAAACCCTGCCAAGCTCTGGGTGTATATTAACCTATCCAAGGTGGGGAAGAGTGTTTAGGCTCTGAAGCTCATCTGGAACCCCAGAAATCCCACAGTGTAGGCAGCTGCTCACTCTGCAGATAGGATTTTGTGGGTCCCTGAATTGGCTGTGGGAGGTTTTGCTGACAGGAGGCTACAAAGCCAGGAGCACAGGATGTGACCTACCCCTCCTGGGACCACAGAGGGCTGGAAGACACAGTCTTCCCTAAGGAAAGAAACAGAGTTTTCTATCCCTCTCCTGGTGTAACTCAGCATGGGAGCATAGGAGGCAGGTCAGGATATGAGCTTGAGCTGTGGGGGGTGTGCAGACCAAGGTTCATAGCATACACTGTGCCCACCAGCTCTGGCTCCTCCGGCAAGCGTGGGAGTCCAGTCAGCTGCATGGCTGTGAGCACAGCCTCTGGGATCCATGCACACCAGGGTTCCTAGTGTAGCCCTGTAATCACCAGCCAGGTCTTCTCTGACTAGCTGGTTAACTTCTCTGAGCCTGGCTTCGCCATTCACCAGTTGGGGACAGGTGCAGCGGAACAGAGCAGATGGAAGCTCAGACTCTCTATCAGGCTCTCGAATCAGACTGCCTGGGTTTAAATCCAGGTTCTGTTGACCAGCTGGGTGACCTCAGGCGACTTGGGGTCTCAGCACTCAATTTTCTAATTGGCTAACTGGAGATGACAAGGCCCCTACCTTGTGTGACTGCCAGGAAGATTAAATGAGAAAATACTTAAATGTGAAACACTTAGAGTGGTGCCTGAAACACAGAGACCATTGATACCATCTAACAAGTGTTATCCTTATTTTATTTATGCTTTCCTTTTTCTTTTTTCTTTTCTTTTCTTTTTTTTTTTTTTTTTTTTTGAGACAGGGTCTCAGTTTTTCTGTCAGCCCCGGCTGGAGTGCTGCGGCATAATCACGGCTCACTGCAGCCTCAATTTTCCAGGCTCAGACGATCCTCCCACCTCAGCCCCTTGAGTTGCCAGGACCACAGGCATGCACCACCATGCCTGGCTAATTTTTGTATTTTTTTGTAAAGACAGGATTTCACCATGTTGCCCAGGCTGGCTTTCAACTCCTGGGTTCATCTGATCCACCCGCCTTGGCCTCCCAAAGAGCTGAGATTATAGGTGTTAAATCACCACACCTGGCCATACTCATGTTTTTCAAGCCCATAAGAGGAACCTCCTAGCATCGTCCCCACCCTGTCCACTGCACTGGTCCCAGCCCCCAACAGGTCAGCTCCCTTTGCTGTTCCCGGGTTTCCCACACTTCTGTCTCAAGCCATGACCTCTGCTTCCATGTCTGCAGCCCCACGAGGCTGGTGCTCCTCTGTCCTGCATATCTCCAGTGCCTGGCAAGGTGCTGGCATGAAGTAGGTGCTCATTAAATGCCTGTTAAAATGCTAGTAATAATAATAATGGTACCTTTGTTACTAAGACTAATCACTACCTTCCAAAGTCTTTCCTCTATGCCAGGCAGCGAGCTAAGCTGCTAACCCCGTAGATTCTATCACCATCCCTCCCATGATCCCACAAGAAAGACCCAATTCTCTCCAATGTTTAAAAAGGAAAGTAAAAATCAATGTGTCTTAGTAGCTCACACTGAGTGGTTGTACCAGGATTTGGACTCAGGCACATGCTTTAAACCAGAGGTCAGCAAACTTTTCCTCTGAAGGAACAGATGGTAAATAGCTTCAGCTTTGCAAGCCAGCCAGTCTCCAGTGCAGGCACTCGGCTCACCCTTGTAGCATTAACGCAGCCGTAGATAATGCATCCATGAATGCGTGTGGCTCCATGCCAATAAAACTTTATTGTCCATAGGTGACAGGCTGGTTTGGCTCATAAGCCATAGCCTGCCACTCCCTGTTGTATTCTACCTACTGTTCATTTCAGGTCATGTAAACGGCAACCTGGGCCCCTCTACAGTTCCAGTCCTCCAACCAGAGCCAGCTCTCCCCTCAAAATGCTACGGCCTGTGACAATGCTCCGGAAGCCTGGGACCTGCTGCACAGAGTGCTGCCGACATTTATCATCTCCATCTGCCTCTTCGGCCTCCTGGGAAACCTTTTTGTCCTGTCGGTCTTCCTCCTGCCCCGGCGGCGACTGAATGTGGCAGAAATCTACCTGGCTAACCTGGCGGCCTCTGATCTGGTGTTTGTCTTGGGCTTGCCCTTCTGGGCAGAGAATATCTGGAACCAGTTTAACTGGCCTTTCGGGGCCCTACTCTGCCGTGTCATCAATGGGGTCATCAAGGCCAATTTGTTCACCAGCATCTTCTTGGTGGTGGCCATCAGCCAGGACCGCTACCGCGTACTGGTGTATCCAATGGCCAGTCGGAGGTGGCAGCGGCGGAGGCAGGCCCAGGTTACCTGCGTGCTCATCTGGGTTGTGGGGGGCCTCTTGAGTATCCCCACATTTCTGCTGCGATCCCTCAAAGCCGTCCCAGATCTGAACATCACCGCCTGCATCCTGCTCCTCCCCCACGAGTCCTGGCACTTTGCAAGGATCGTGGAGTTAAACATTCTGGGTTTCCTCCTACCACTGGCTGCGATCATCTTCTTCAACTACCACATCCTGGCCTCCCTGCGAGGGCGGAAGGAAGCCAGCGGTACAGGGTGTGGGGGCCGCAAGGATGGCAAGACCACGGCGCTGATCCTCACGCTCGTGGCTGCCTTCCTGGTCTGCTGGGTCCCTTACCATTTCTTTGCCTTCCTGGAATTCTTGTTCCAGGTGCAAGCAGTCCGAGGCTGCTTCTGGGAGGACTTCATCGACCTGGGCCTGCAGCTGACCAACTTCTTTGCTTTCATCAACAGCTCCTTGAATCCAGTGATTTATGTCTTTGTGGGACAGCTCTTCAGGACCAAGGTCTGGGAACTTTATAAACAGTGCACCCCTAAAAGTCTTGCTCCCATGTCTTCATCCCATAGGAAAGAAATCTTCCAACTTTTCTGGCGGAATTAAAACAGCACTGAACCAAGAATCTTGACGTTCTTATCAATTCTTTGTGACATAATAAATGCTATTGTAATAGGCTAAATTGTTACTCCCATTGGTTGGGGGTTACCTAATTCCTGGACTTTACGAATGTTACTTTATATGATAAAGGGGACTTTACAGCTGTTACCAATAAAGTCTTGAGATGGGGAGATGAGCCTGAGTTATCCAGGTGGGCCCAATATAATCACAAGGGTCCTTATAGGAGGGAGGCAGGAGGCTCAGAGTCAGGAGATGTGACAGGAGATGTGACTGTGGAAGAGGCCAGAGGAATTCAGGGCGGCCGCTACGGGCCAAGGATTGCAGGCACCCTCTAGAGGCTGGAAAGGGCAAGGAAATGGATCCTCCCCTGGAGCCTCCAGAAGAAATGGGTCCTGCCAACTCGCTGACTTCAGCCAGGGAAACATGTAGGATTTCTGGCCTCCAGAAGTGTTAGAGAATACATTTGTGTTTTGTTTTGTTTCATGGAGATGGAGTCTCTGTCGCCTAGGCTGGCATGCACTGATGTAATCATGGCTTACTGCAGCCTCAATGTCCCAGACTCAAGGGAACCTCCACCTCAGCCTCCTGTAGCTGGGACTACGATGTGCATCACCATGCCTGGCTATGTTTTCTGTTTTGTAGAGATGGGTCTTCCTGTGTTGCCTAGTCGGGTCTCAAACTCAAGGGCTCAAGTGATCACTTTGGTCTCCCAGAGTGCCGGGATTGCAAGCCTGGCCACTGCGCTCGGCCCCATTTGTGTTTTAAGCCACCAAGTTTCTGGTAATTTGTCACAGCGGCAGAAGGAGCAAATACAAGTGTCCAGTAAGGGCCTCTCCTGTCACACTTCCGTTTGTCCATTCAAAGCTTTCCAGGCGATCTGCCGGGAATGCAAGGATGATATAGCTAGGCGTCCCAGGAGTTCTATCTTCAAGGAACTTGCGTACATCTAAGTATTATAATATAAAAAGCAAAATGAGAAATTGCATTTTGTTTTTTATATTATAAAAATTGCTGGATCTGAGCACACGACAGATCCAGCATCTTGCATCTTCAGAGAGAAAGCGGATGAGTTCCCTCTCAGGTTAGCAGAGAAGACGCTGTGAAGGGAGTCAGCCGTGAGCCTGGTTTCCACAAAGGGTGCAATCTGGATACATGGAGATGGGAGGAAGGGCTGGCAGGGGCAGAACCAAAACGTGGAGGTGGAAAGGTGAGCTGCTCACGAATGAATGCTCGTGTGTACTGTTGTTGAACTCATAACGCACTGGTGCGCGTCCTGCTACGAGAAACCCAAGGGTGAACGTAACAGTGTCTCTACCTTCCAGGGGCTCACAGCAACTAGGACAATAATTAAGAGATTGTCACAGGGCAGGATGTCTGCCACCATCAGGGGGAGGGGTGCTGTGAGAACCAGAGCAGGACTCCGGTCTGTGTGGCCACAAGGGATGGTTAGAGAGGGGATCCTGGAGGAAGAGACACATAAACTGAATCCCAAAAAATGAGAGGCTGGCCAAGCAAAATGGGGGAGAGGAATGTTCCAGACAGAAGGAACAAAGTAGGCCCAGAGGCAGCTGAGTTACAGGTTAGGAGGGAGAGGTTAAAGGACAGCAGAGGAGGAGGTGGGTCACGTAGGGAGTGGGGCTGGAGGAGAATGGACAGGTTGGGTCTACAATGGTCAGCTGGCAAAGGCAGTTCACCCGGGAAGCATGTGAGGGCCTCATTGAAGCTGGAAAGTATGGCTGTGTTGTATGACTTTACTTGGATAATGCTTGACAGACCCAGGAAAGGCTTGCTCTGGAGTATAGACGGCCATAGGTCATGGGAGTTGGGGATCCTGGTCAGATTCTGGGGAACTAGGGAGAGGGAAGAAACGAGCACAGGGGAAGAAAGAAGTGGTGTGAGATCAGTGTGTTAACGGATGAAGCAGTGAGAGAACCTGGGTGACAGAGCAAGAAGGAGAAGAAGGGCCGGGCGCGGTGGCTCATGCCTGTAATCCCAGCCCTTTGGGAGGCTGAGGCGGGTGGATGGCTTGAGCCCAAGAGTTTTGAGACTAGCCTGGGCAACATAGCAAGACCCCCATCTCTACAAAAAAAAAAAATACAAAAATTATCCAGGCATGGTAGTGCATACCCTGTAGTCCCAGCTACTCGGGAGGCTGAGGCAGGAGGATCACTTGAGCCCAGGAGGTCAAGGCTGCATGCAGTGAGCTAAGATTGTGCCACTGCATTCCAGCCTGTATGACGGAGACCCTGCCTCATAAAGAGAGAGAGAGAGAGAGACATGGCCACAGAGCAGGAATGTTTGAATAGGACACTCCAGAAGCAGAGCCATCCCAGGAGATGACAAGGACCAAGTATGCCCCTGGCACCAGGTGGCTGAAGTAGAGGGAAGAAGAAGGAGGATGGAGACAACATAGAGAATCGAAAGGTCAGATGGGGGTGGGCTGTCCACGGGGCCCCTGTAGGCAGGTGGGACACTGTCAGGCCCTGGGGAGGAGAGAGTTCGTGGGCCAGGAGGCCATTCCGAGGTCAGTTTCCATGGAGTGGGGGAAAGGGTGTAGTGACCAGACTCCAAGACACATGGGGGAACGGGGAGGATGAGCAGTCCCCACAGCTGCACGGGAGGGGCTGGTGCTTGTGAACAGCAGCAAAGACTCATTCACTCCAGGAATGGAAAGAAGGCCATGTTCTTGGAGCCTGGAGACAGGGTCTGAAGGGCTGGCAGGGGCTGGGCCACCAGGACCTCGTCGGTGATAACCCTGTGATCAGTGCTCCGGCCCCTGCAGGTTTTCTGGAGAGCAGAGCGTGGTCAGAAGGCCTGGAGCTGAGCCAACAGGCAAGATTCAGCCTGCACACCTGTTTAATTTGGACCACATGGCATTTTTTTAAAACTCCGAGCCCCCGGGCTTTTGAGTTGGTTACCAGCACTGAAACTTCACAGAGGGCGCCAGCTCTCCAGTTTCTCTTGAACGTTTGGAATATCTAGCAACGCTGATTCAATTTCATGCATTAAGCAGATATTTATTAAGCATCTACTTCGTCAGACACTGTGGTGGGCACTGAGAATATGGCAGGGAATGAAAGAGAGCAACAGCCCTGGATCCCTTGGAGTTAACCTTCCGGCATCCCCCCAGGGCTTCAATTATTTGGTGCTGCATAGCAGAGGCCCCATGAACAGGGCACCTCCCATCAGATTCACACACATGGCAGCTGTGGGAGGCTGGGTTTGCAGCCCCTGATCCAGACCAGCTCTTCACGTACAGTCGGGGAAACAGAGCAGTGAGACCTGCCCAAGTACACCCAGTGGAACTCGCAACAGCCACACACAGCAATAGGCTCAGTCATCTCATTTAATCGCCCTATTCCCTTGTGAGGTCGGTTTCAGGCTGGCATGCAGTGGCACAATCTCGGCTCACTGCAACCTCTGCCTCTCGAGTTCAAGCGACTCTCCTGCCTCAGCCTCCCGTGTAGCTGGGATTACAGGTATGCGCCACCATGCTTGGCTAATTTTGTTTTTTAAGTAGAGACAGGGTTTCACCATGCTAACCAGCTGGTCTCGAACTCCTGACCTCATGATCCACCCACCTCATCCTCCGAAAGTACTGGGATTACAGGCATGAGCCACCGCACCCAGCCTCAGGATGTCCACTTTCTAGGTGAGGAAGAGGAGGATGAGGAAGGCAGTGCTTGCCTAGACTGCAGAGGGTGGATTCACCCAACTCATCTGACTCCAACACCAACATGATTTCCAAGCCCCCAGGCACGAATTCATTGGGCAAAGTCTCTGTAGCAAAATGGCAAAAACAGGCTGGAACAGGCAGATATATCAGGCAGGAATAGAAAGTGGGAAAGGAAAAACAATATCTGATCCCTCTTCTACTCTGAGTGAACTGACCCAAATACGCCCTCCTTTCTTCTTTCTCAGCCTGCCTTAAGCTGGCGGCTGATCAAAATCCTTTGTAGGGCTTGAGAAAACCAATCCCACACTCAAGAAGAATGTGCTGGCCAGTGAAATCAGACCACGTTGCTCACAGGCTGTAGTTCTACAGTACACTGTGGCCACAGTCTGAGAAGTCAGACACCTGATTTACAGGATGCAGGTAAGCAGCATTTACCAAAGGCCAGCAAACAGCCCACAGCGGGAGAGAAACTGGCAAACCCGTACGGTAGAATTCTTTTGCCCTTCTATATGAAAGGTCAGTTACTTATTTGCAGAGGGAGAAATTTCTGCCTTGACTAAAATGATCGATGTTGTGGGAAAAGGTATTTCTGAGCATTTCTGAATTCTCATGGATCTGCTTGACAGGTCTGCCCGGCGTGTTCCACACCTAGTGCCAGGCCATACCTTCCAGCAAATACTCTTCCAGCATCCGCAGCTCCAGCACCCATGGGGATTTCCACTTTACTTTCTCCCTGAGAGGGGCCAAGTAGAGAGAGATGAGGAGCTTCCACTCCAATCTGCTCCCAGCCTTCGGCCTGTCCTGGGCTCCAGAACCGCGTGATCAGAGGCCATCTGTTGCCTTCGCTGCTCTCTGCAGCGGGAAAGTGAAAAAGCTGCCCCCACTCTGCCCCATCATCACCCCAATCCATCATGAGGAGTGAGCAGTGCTAAGGCCTTCCAAATCCCAGCCTTGGGGAAAATCCCTGATGTTGCAATGGCCACAAGCAGGTTCTTGTTCGCCAGAGATGAGTCACAAGTTTGAGGAGGAGCAGGTCGGAAGCAACCCTGGGAAATGTCCCTCCCCACCCCTGCTCGCACTACAGCTCCCAGGGACCTGGGCATCCAACCAGAGCTGATCCGAGCCCTGAGATCCTGCTGAGCTCCACGCTGGCCTCTACGTGCCTTCAGCTCCTTCCTGCCATTCCTCTTTCCCTGGGCCCCACCCCTTTCTCCAGACCCCCTTGATCCCTCTCAGCACCCTCATGCCTCCCCGAGCCCCCCAGCTCAGGCGTCTATCCAAGAAGGGCCTCACCGTGGGGCTGCTGAGTGCACAGTGCAGCCGGTCAG